GTAGAAGAATATTTTTGAAAAGAAAAAATTCCAAATTTAGAAAATTTAGTATATACAGTTTTGTCACTTCCACATTCTAATGCCGAAGCAGAGAGAATATTTTCTATTGTTACAGATGTGAAAAATATATTTATATGATTAAAATTTAAGTAAATATGTTCATATTTAAATATAGGTATATAATGTGTAATGTATAAATATAAAGTATATTGTGTTAATAACTATAATATTATGATAAATGTATTAATATTTAAGTTGTCATATGTTTAAGCATTTATATGTTTTATATATTCATATATATTATTTCTTATGTATTCTACAATGTTTTTATTGGAATACTGGTGAGGTTTTCTGCAGTTTCTCTTACCCTCGCAACAAATGTTGGTATTCATGTATAAATAAATCGGCTGCAGACTCCCGCGTCTTTCTAGTAATGAAGTGATAACGCGTGTAGTGTGTCGTATTATCTTTAATAGAAACATTCTTTGCAACATTCTTTGATAGAAACATTCCTTGCAAATTCCTTCATATTTTTTTTCTCGCTGGGGGGTACCTAACGATACCTCATATTTGATTGAACTATATACATTAGTGAGGATACGTAGCGCTTGCTTAGTGCGCATGCGAGACTTTATTCCCACGACAGCGCATCACTGTCCCGGGGTGGTATGGACCTTCACCAGGAACAGTATGGATTCCGCGAGGTGAAATCGACGATCGACGCGATCATGCGCGTCCGAACCCTCGTGGGGTCCATCATGGAGGAGGGCAGAGTGGCGATTGCGGTGTCATTAGACATTCGCAACGCCTTTAACACCCTGCCCTGGAATAGGGTGAGGGAGGCCGCTGTTAGCTTTGGCCTTCCCCCCTACCTGGTGGAGGTCCTTGAAGCGTACTTCCGGGACAGACGGTTGGAGTACACCGATAGCGGTGTACTCCTACGCGGAAGGGGAGTGTACTGCGGGGTTCCACATGGGTCAGTTTTGGGCCCCACCTTGTGGAACCTGAAGCGTACTAAATTCAATTTGACTATTTTTAATCGGTTTTAATACCGCATTTTCGGTGCAGAAATCCCGATCGATTCGGATTACATTTTTTTAAATCCGTTTTAATCGACCATTTTCGGCAGGGATACGCTGACGACCCAATAGTGCTGGCCGGGGGAGATAGCTGGGGATAAGCCGTGAGAACGGCCAACATCGCGGTGGCGTGCGTCGTTCGCGCGATTCACGGCATGGGCCTGGAGGTAGCGCCTCACAAGTCTGAGGCGCTCTTCCTTTATCGGGGGAAGCGGAACCGCATGCACGAAGCCTCCCCGGAAACGGCCCGTGTCGTGGTGGATGACACCTCCGTCTGGGTGGGAACCCAATTGAAATACCTGGGTCTCTACCTGGACGCTACCTGGAGCTTCGGCGGGCATTTCGAACGTCTGGCCCCCAGGGCGGAGGCAGTGGTTCAAGCTTTAAGCCGTCTCCTGCCCAATTTAGGGGGGCCGGACGGGAAAGTGCGCCGCCTATATGCGACGACCGTCCGGGCGGTGGCCCTTTACGGGTCACCAGTGTGGGCGGATGCCCTGATGGCGAGTAGGCGCAGCATGATGTTGCTGCGCCGAATTTTTCAGGCCGCCATCAGGGTTATCCGCGGATATCGGACGGTGTCGTATGCGGCGGCCTCCATACTGGCGGGATTGCCGCCTATCGAGCTCTATGCACAGATGTGCGCCAAGGTTTATCGGCGTACCAAGGAGCTCGATGGGCTAGGCGTAGCTTTGATCCCGCGGATCAGGGCTGCCGTGAGGCTTCAGGCTCGACAACGAATGCTGGAGAGGTGGAGCGAGGATCTCTCCAATCCCCGAGACAACTCGGGGATGCGCGTCGTCGAGGCCATCTGCCCCTGTTTAATAAAATGGGTGGAAAGGGCGGATGGCGAGGTGTCATACCGTGTGGCACAGATACTGACGGGCCATGGATGTTTTGGCTCGTTTCTGTGCCGCATCGGGCGCGAAGCAGACGCGCGCTGCCACCATTGCGGCGGGGACGAGGATACGGCGCAGCACACGCTGGAACACTGTCCAGCGTGGGCGGAAGAGCGCCGTGTCCTCGTCCAACAATTGGGGGGGAATGACCTCTCGCTCTCGGGCATTGTTGCGGCGATGCTTGAGAGCGGGAAGTCCTGGAAGGCAGTCTCTTCCTTCTGCGAAGCCCTCATGCTGCAGAAGGAGGAGGCCGAGAGAGAGAGGGAGCGACTCCCTGGCGGACGCCGGGGAGCCCTCGGGCGCGGAGGCGTGACCGGAGGCGGAAGGGGGAGGACCTTTTGCTGGCAGGACCCGCCAACCCTCCACGTCTTTCAGTCGCGGAGGCGCGAGACGTCGTGCCAGGAGGCCCCATCGGGGGGGGGGGTTGACGGGCGCGGGGACTGTTGTCCCCCGTCGCCCACAAAACCTTCCCCAGCAGCGGGGTGGCGCGAGTGGGGGGAGCGGACCTGGGGCCTATTGGCTCCGGTCCTCATCAACTCCCTCCGCAGATGCGCAGGGCCCGAGCGGGTTGGGGGGAAGGGGCTCTCGTCTCGTCGGAAACGCCCTATCCCAAGCCGGGCCCGGTGGCCGGAGACCCAGGTGGGGTACCTGGGCCCGGCCACGCCAACCCCGCCGCGCCAACGGCGGGATGTGGGTGAGAGGGGTGGTGGTCCCCCTCTCCCCAGTACGAGCGGGAGCCCCCACAACAACGGGGACCCTGACTCCCCCTCCAGCGGGCTAGGCTCGTGGGCGGAAGGCTTCTCCGAAGTAGTGCAAATGCCAGTTTCCGGAGAGGCCTTCAACAACGCCCAGGTGTAGGCCACCCGGAGGGGTTTTAGTGGGCAGTCCCTCGGCTGTTTGTTTAAGCCGAGGGTGAGTCCTACATAACCCCGCCTCGAACCTCATCGAGGCGGGGTATGCGTAAAAGCATTTCCCCTCCGTAACAAAAAAAAAGAAAAAAAGATATGTAATATGACCGATGTGTACAGATCATAAATATATAGACTGGATTGAGCATTGCGAGATAAACAAGCGTTTGTCTATCGCAACGCTCAGTCCATTCTATATGTCTATGGTACAGACGAAAAGTGTTTTTGTGTATGTGCTGTATGCGCATATGTTGTGTACATACTTTTCGGGGCCATGTATTTCGTAGGAGTTAGCAGTCTAGTAATATATAGAAGTCTGTGGAATCTACGTAGCGAAAATTGCGGAACTCTCGCGATTGGTCGTGCTCTCGTTCCGCGTTAAGCCCGTATCAGACTACGCATTGAAGATTGAGATTCAAGATTCAAGATTGAAATTTGACCAATCAAAATAAAGAAATTGTAGTCCCTTTTGTTCTGATTAGTCAAATTTTAATCTTTAATCTTTAATCTTTAATTTTCAATGCGTAGTCTAAAGGTACATTTTCACGAGCCGCTGAAATCGATCGTTTGAGCGACAAAAAGAATCACGTGATATAAATGGACGAATCAGCGACCAGACCGTGGTCACTCATTCGTCCATTTCGATCCTTTTTGTCGCTCAAACGATCGATTTCAGCGGCTCGTAAAAATGTACCTTGATACAGGCTTTAGGGAGCAGTGAAAAGCAGCAGCAGTTTAGAAAGTAACTAGAATCGGTGACGTACTTCCGGCGCAAGTTTTTGCTGTTTGAAGTTCATCCTGTTGAACAGCAAAGCAGTAAAAGCTGTGTTTTGGTTATATATGTACATATATTCTAAAGTATGGAATCACCAGAGGTAAGTTTGTAGGAACTATAATTATAAAAATAATTACTCATTCGGTTATATCTCAATTAATATTGAAATTGAGATTAACGATTTAAAACACTGCAGAAAACCTATTTCATGGGCAGCGCAGCAATTCTGTAAAATCACCAAACAATGCTAGTTAGTTACTAAACTGCTGCTGCTTTTCACTGCCCATAAGATGTTACCTTTATGGCTTCTGCACACAGGACGCGGAAACGCTTGCCGCGCGGCAACAGACTACGCGGTAGTCAATCAATTTTTCGCTCTAATGGAAAAGTTGTAAGTTGATTGGCTACCGCATCGCCTTTTGCCGCGCGGCAAGCGTTTCCGCGTCCTGTGTGCAGAAGCCATTACGCTATTCCGCTGCATGAGTTCGCACCTTAAAGGCCGTATTACACTACGGGTTGCGGGCTCGGTTGTGGTTGGGGTTACGGTTGATAGTTGCGGATTGACCAATCAACCGGCAAGCTGCTTTGCTCTGATTGGTCAATCCGTAATCGTCAACCATAACCCTAAAGCCCGTATCAGACTACGCATTGAAGATTGAGATTCAAGATTCAAGATTGAAATTTGACCAATCAGAATAAAGAAATTTTAGTCCCTTTTGTTCTGATTGGTCAAATCCCAATCTTTAATTTTCAATCTTCAATTTTCAATGCATTGTCTGATACGGGCAATGCGTAGTCTGATACGGGCTTTATGCTATGCATATGCAGCTATGCCAATTTGTGTGTGTAACCGCAACCGAGCCCGCAACCCATAGTGTAATACGGCCTTAAGCCCGTATCAGACTACGCATTGAAGATTGAGATTAAAAATTGAAGATTGAAATTTGACCAATCAGGACAAAGAAATTTTAGTCCCTTTTGTTCTGATTAGTCAAATTCCAATCTTTAATCTTCAATCTTCAATTAAAGCCCGTTCTACATTGATCGCATGTCGCCAGTCGCAAGCAAATCGACCAATCACAGTCGAATATTCGACGGAATAATCGACTGTGATTGGTCGATTTGCTTGCGACTGACGACATGCAATCAATGTAGAACGGGCTTAACAGAGCTCAATGGTATTTACCATAGACATAGTATATCTAGACCGAGTGTTGAGGAGTGGGAGCCGAGGTGCAGGTAGAAAAGGACGTAACTCTGTTCCGTGCCCCTTGCGTTCTCTCTCACTCGCATGTAGCATAGCGAAAGAGTATGTCCTTTTCTACGTGCATCTTTACCCCCACTCTTTAAATAAAGGCAAACGCTCGGTCTAGATATACTATGTCTATGGTATTTACAGAGGAAAAGTCAGAGAAGATATGGGAATGGCGGCATGCGAGCTGTAAAGTTTGCGTTGCATCGTTACAATTTAGTGCGCGTAAAAAAACGAAAGTGCTCGCATAGACTGAGATGACATCAATCGTGTTAACGATGTGAAACTTGATTCGAAGTTTGGAAAATATTCTTTTGCCGTCATATCGCGGGTATCCAGGTGAGTCAATGCTGCCTAATCACGTTTATTCTCTTTTCTCGATCCTGTTGCAAAATAAAAATACTTCGAGCTTGGTATGGTTACCCTCTTTGGCTGATCTACAATTTATACAGTTAAGGATATTAGTTACTCGATTGAGAGAGATTTTATCTTTTTCTATGAAATTTATGTTTTGTGTGTATGTGTAACATTATTGTAATTATTCAGCATTGTATGTACAAAGAAAGATTACAAGATAAGTATGTGTAATCTCTCTCACATAGCATATAATTTTAGAAATAGTAATAAATATATTTTTTTTTTTTACTATTGCACGTATGAATATATAGATGTATACGAGATTTTATTTAAATACAATTATATCCATAAAATTTGGTTTTCTTCTTTATTGTGTACATTTGTTATATATTTTTATTATTAACATATTAACATACAGTTTACAAAATGTATTGTTTTAAAGAATGCTGTATCAAAACATTCAAATATATTTTAATAATATTTATAGGAAAAAATGTCAGGTGAATATAGTCGAAGCATTTTAAAAATAGTTGTTGCTCAGATCTGTCAGATGATAGGATGGCACTCTATTAATTCTACGCCTCTAGAATTTATGGTAGATCTTATGCAAGAATATATGTTACGTATCTCAAGGTTGACACATCAATATGCAGAAGTTTGTGAGTAGCTATTATCAATTTTAGCAATGATTGCTTTTTTTACTTCTTCTATACAGTTTAGCAAATAAAAATAATAAATAAGATTTATATATTTTAGATGATATTTTTTACATTCTTAAGATTTTGTTAATATTAAGTACTTTAAATAAATTATTTATTCTTTTATGTTTGTTATAACTAGTAATTAATGTTTTAATTAATGTTTTAATTAATGTTTATATACAATATAAACATATGTACATACATAGATATTTTCATAGGATTCACGATATTTTTATTTTACAGTGGGAAGGACAGAACCAAATCTTGATGATTTAGGGTTAACATTTCAGCATATGAATATTGACATACAGGAATTAGCTGAGTATGTTAAAAATGTAGATTCTGTTCCATGTCCTATACAGATACCAAAATATCCAGTTCGGCGTGAAAATCATTTAAATTTTTTAAAGCCGGGCAGTCGTGAAGTTGTCACTAGATCAGTGCATATACATGAACATTTACCAGCTATGTATCCAGATACTGAAGGTATGATAATAAATTATATTTTCTATATTGTGTAATACTTTTCATAATAAAATAATTACATTAATTTATATTTATATTTATATTGATAATATATAATAAAATTACAGAAGAATATATACCAGATAAGAATGAAAGTTTAATGAATGGTACAACAGATCTGACATCTAGCAGTGCGACATCATCAAGCAATTCGAATAACACATCACCTCATAGAATGTCGCCGCAAGTAATTTTCAAACGGCCAGGCGATCCGGTATCTTTCGAAAGCTCCATACCGAAGCGGGCAAAAATTTTGGAGGAAGGTAGACCATTACGTGAAATAAGCAGCGTTATGATGACCACTTCCGGTTTTTTATCACCTGCCCGAGAAGGAAAATTACCTGAGGCGAGAACGCCGCATCAAGTACGATCGGATTCGCCACAACCGAGTTCTTATCCGATGGTACCACCTGAATTGAAGTGCGAAAAGAAACCGAAGAAGATTGTAAAGAAAGGTCCAGAGAATCGTAAACTCGACAAGGAGAACAAGAAGAAAAAAGGCGCGAAAGAATTGTTTAAGCCGGATAAGATGGATGAGAGCAAGATAAAAAAATTGGTTGGAATGAAGGAGTTGGCCAAGCTAAAGCCATTAAAGCCGGGTGGTGGCAAAGCGCAATCCACTATGCTACAAGAGCTTACAGCCAGCAGACCGTCCACACCGAAGATTGCGTCACCGAAGTCAGTCGTTGGTAGTTCGAAACCATCAAAAGTCGCGCAGCCGAAAGTAAAGAACGAGAAGACGATAGATCTGATAGATGACTCTCCTACTATCGAGAAAAAAGAGGATACTATTGATAAATTACCGTCAGAGCCGGATAAACAGAAATTAAACATATTCAAGAAGATATCGAAACCGCGTGAAGAAAAAGACAAGGACAAGGAGATATCGGAACCGCATAAGCATAAAGATATTCTCGATTCGCGCGAGAACTCGCCGGAGTTAATAATAGATGTCGACAATATGGAGAAGCATACACATCGTAACGACACAGAGGCGAAAGGAGGACGCGAAGAGAAAAGAACACCGCACACGCCGGATGTGCATGTGCAATCGGACGCTGATTTGGCGGACGTACAGAGTTCAGAGTCGGACGTTTATATATTCGACGATGCGGACATCTCGCCGCCAGGTACACCTAGCACACCGAAAACTCCCGAATTGAATGTACCCACTGTATCAGAGCAAAAGCGAAAGAAGAAAGAGAAAAGCGGCAAGAAGAAAGAATCTAAATTGAAGAGTCCAAAACAATGTGTCAGCCCAAAGAAGGTAGAATATATCATCATTATGTACTTAAGTATTATACACGCGCGTATATAGAATATCAAAGATTTACTTGTATATACTTATAGCTTCTTTAATTAACGTGAAATCGATTTTGTCTCTAGCAATAACTCTTTCATTGTGTGCTATATTTTTTTTTTATACAAAGTTTTAACATTAATGTATCTTGTTGGTGATCACCATTTTTCAGACAAAGTTTCTGAATGATGCAGCAGAACTGGACATACCAGATCGGCCAAAAACACCGCAGGCACCTGAGCCGTCGTTACACAGAGAGCCACCTACTCTTCCGTCTACACTTCCGTTTCCCTTTTTCCCTACGTTTCCTTCGGCACCTGGTTTAATACCTCATCCAATGTTCACGCGATTCCCATTGCCATTGGGCCGAGGTGGGCCAGGGCCTCATCCCGCAATGCCCAATTTACCTCTACCACCGCGCTTTCTCAATCCATCCATAAAGCCCGAAGATTTTGCATTGCCCAAAATTAAGCCGGTAGAACGTGAAAAGTCACTAATTCCCTCACCAGTCGAGTTAACATCTTCATCGATTCAAGGCGAGAATGAAAAAGCAGACAAAGAGAAGGTGGATAATAAACTTACGAAAATGTTTAAACCAAATAAAGAATTGCCTTTCATAAAAGTACCTGAAAAGGTACCGCCTATAGGCGTTTCACCGCCTATAGTGTCTGCACCTGTCGCACCAATCACGCTTGCTACACCAGTATCCGTCGCGCAAATACCACCATCGAAAAATCCTAAAACTGAAAAAACAGAGAAGAATGATATGGTAAATTCGGTACGAGAACACATTCGAGATATCCAAATGTTTTGGCTGTATTTTATCATAATATTTTTGGAGAAATATTTCGGAAAAAGTAATTTGTGTATATGTGCATGATAATGTATTTTTCTTTATGCCTATGTGTCATATATTATAGTTTTATCCCAGCCAACACTAATTCGGTAGTTCCTGTGTATTTAATAATTTTTATATTTATAGTATTTTTTATATAAAATTTTCAGAAGTCTAAAGAACATAAGAAAGAAAAGAAAGATAAGTTAAAGAAAAAGAAAGATAAAAAAGAGAAACACAAAGATAAAGGCGAGAAAGTGAAGGAGAAGAAGGAAAAAACTGAGAAACGCGAGAAGCTAGAAAAACTTAAAGAAAAGAAGGAGAAGAAAGATAAAAAGAAGGAAAAAGATTCAAATAAGAAAAATATGGTACTTTGTTAGCTTTCAATAATGATATAAAATAGCAATGATAATGATATTAAATAGCAATAAGCAATTTATTATGTATGTATTACAGAAGGAGGATAAGAATCCAGAAGCTGTACCAAAAATAACATTAAAATTAGGTACAGCTTCTCCTAGACCAGCTACACCAGATAATGCCCCTATGAAGAAAATGTAAGTCATTAATCATATTTTTGTTAACAATTTTATGTCAGAGAATTTCAATATTTATTGTTAACTTTTATTATCTTTACGCAAAGTTTGTCTTGTGATATAAACATTTATTTAAATTTGTTGGTGCATTTTTATTTGCTTATTGAAAATAGAAACTTTTATATCATGAAATTTTTGTATATTTTTGTATATATTTCACAATTCAGCAAAGTCCTGATAAATTTTTTATAATTTAGTTTTTCCATAGATACAACTATTGACTAGTTGTTTGTTTTGTGCAGAACTATTAAACCACTTGTGAAGAAACCTGATGAAGAAGTCAAGCGGGAACCTAGTCCAGAATTGGCGAAAATATCGGCATTGGTAACGCGACCGCCAAAGCAGAAGTCAACAAGTAAGAAAACAGAGGAGGGAATATTAGATGGAAGTCCTGCTCTTCCTACAGACTCTTTCTCTGCCAATCTTACTAGCGTGCCACTTGCATCAATTCCTCGAGCAAAGAAATCTAATTTCCAAAGTCTATCTCAAAGTGAGCCAATACCTTCATCTCAATTTGACAATCCTCCTAAAGTCCTGAAACCTCTAATATCGCCACAACAACCACCGTATTATTTTGTAAGTATTCATTTTGTTACATGATATTTACAATAATGGGGATCATTTAAATTTGCATCATGATTCAAAAGATCTTGGAATGTTAATATTATAAATAGGAATTAATGACAAAGAAAGAAATGATGAATAAGTTGAACAATATCATCTACATAGGAAATAGCATGTAAAGTTTTTGGAAATTCGCGCAGATTCTTAATTTTAAAGCACTATTCAGTGTCAAACAAAAATACTTCTAACTATTTTAAAATCGCACAAGAAATCTACCTTATTTTCCGAATTTAAGTAATATGATTATAATATGTTAGGAAAAAAACATTTTTATAAATAAATTAATAGATGATATAAAGAGAAGGAGAGAGAGTGTGTGCGTGCGTGGCGTGTGTATGTGCGTGCGTGTGTATGTACGTGTGTGCGCGCGTGTATGTGTGTATGTGTACGCGCGCGTGCATGTGTATATGTACATAATAAATTTGTACAGATAAATTTTAGTGTTGGAAAGAATATATTAATATTAAATTTGTACAGCAGAATCTTACAAATCAATTCAGAAGTTATTATGTTATTAAGTTATTATGACAAAGTCAATCAATTTAAGGGGAGTTTGTCTTAAATTATATTGCAAATATTTTCTTGATATTTTATTCTATAATGAGGAACCCAACCCATCGACATTGTTTCAAATACGAACCTATCCAAAAATTCCTATTTATTTTATTTTATGCTATCTATGCATTTAGAACCTGTGGTGACGGTATCATGTCTCCTTTTTTTCCTTAAGTCACGCTTTTGGTATATTGTTATGTTGTATAAACTATAAAAATGTAGTACACGTTCTCTCTTATAACTATATTTAGATTTACTGTGTATTTTACGTTGCAATCTTAATCAATTTCTTTAACGTTAATGCTCGTATTTCCATTTCTCTCTCAATCTTGAGTCTTAAATATTTCATCATTCTTACACAAATTGAGTCTTAAATATTTATCTTATTATTCCATTTTTGCTTTTCTACCCTGTAAAATTTATAACATACAAAAAGCTCTTCAGAAAAGACTTTTAATAATTAATTTAAATAATATAAAGTTAAATATATACAAGGTATTATTTATTTTACATACATATTTTATGATATTGAATGCATTTTAAACAAAAATATATACATAGATGCGCTCTCATATACAGGTGACCTAAAATTTGATTTAAAATAGTATAGCAGAAAAACTCTCGAAAAATTAAATAATAAAAGTATTTGCGATTTTTTATTCCAAGTAATAGTTTTTGAGATATAAGAGTTAAAACATTTTTTGCTAAAACACTTATTGTTTGGGATACTTGACCGTTCCAGAACTTTTGGCGTTCACTATGTATATGTGTGTGTATAGGAAGGGGCAAAAACCATTATATGTTCTTTTAATAGTAGATTCTCCAATCAATTTGGAGTCAGTTTTTCCTTAGCGAGAATGTCGAGAGAGGCTGTCATTTTTTCAAGCTACCTAAGAGAGGCTGCCATTTTTTCAGTTACCCCAATTCCATCATATATCTTTATAAGCAAATCTCAAGTTAAAATTATATTAAAGTAATTATTATTTGAAATTAACTAAAGAAAGAACGTGATTCTCTTGTTAATCTCTTGAGTATACATAAAATTTGGTTTGTGAAAAGCCTTTCTTTTCATATTTTAACATTTCAAGAAAACCTTTCTTATTTATAATTTTTGTTTATAACTCGAAAATTATTGATGCTTTGATATTTTCACTAAGAAAGAATTGTTTTTAAATTGATCAGAAAACCAATATTAACAGAATATTTAGTGGTTTTGGGAACACATGATACAAAAGATATATATTTATGTACAAAAGATATATATTTTTAATAAAAAACGATAGATAAAAAAGACCGGTTTCTGCCTCAAAAGTGTAATGTAAATTATAAATGTAATTACATGTAAATTATAATGTAATTACATTAAATTTTACACATTATGTTTTATACACATATATACAGGGTAAGGAAAAAATATGGAAACCCTGAAAAATTTCGAAAAATATAATAGCGTCTTCCATTGGGAAAAACTCACAGCACTGAGTGCTTGAAACGTATATCATTGGTAATATTAATGAGCATATTTTGAATGCTGCACATTTCATTGGGAGTGCAAACTACTCTCAGTGCGAATTGAGAGCATTTTACATTCCCAATGAAATGTGCAGCATTCAGAACATGCTCATTAATATTACCAATGATATACGCTTCAAGCACTCAGTGCTGCGAGTTTTTCTCAATGGAAGACGCTATAAGTTTTATAGAAAATTCTTTCGAATAAAAGTTGTGGGATTTAAAAAGATCTATTTACTGATCTTATTAGTTTGGATTTGCATGGCGTCGCCAAAGTTAGAACAAAGTCACCTTGAATTTTTTTAATGGAAACCCCTATTTTTTATTACATATTCTTGTCGAGATCTTTTCAAAACACTATAATAAAGTATATTTTCATTAAGTATTTTTCGAGTTATTTTATATCTTAATCTGACATATTTTGATATAAAAAATAAAATATCTCGTAAAATATTTAGTTTTCGATAATCTTACCGTAATACTTTTATGTACTGAATAATGAGCCAAATCAATTGATATAGAAAAAATAATTTCAAGAAAAAATGTGTAATTATTTATAATGTGTTTTTTTTAACAATTATTTGTTTTCTTTTACACTAATTTATTTGTCTCATTATTCTGTACATAAAAGTATTACGGTAAGATTATCGAAAACTAAATATTTTACGAGATATTTTATTTTTTATATCAAAATATGTCAGATTAAGATATAAAATAACTCGAAAAATACTTAATGAAAAAATACTTTATTATAGTGTTTTGAAAAGGTCTCGACAAGGGCTACAAGAATATGTAATAAAAAATAGGGGTTTCCATTTAAAAAATTCAAGGTGATCTTATCTTGACCTTGGCGACGCCATCCAAATCCAAACTAATAAGATCAGTAAATAGATCTTTTTAAACCCCACAACTTTTATTCGAAATAATTTTCTGTAAAACTTATATTTTTCGAAATTTTTCAGGGTTTCCATACTTTTTCCTCACCCTGTATGTATTATACAAGTATCCCTTTTTTTTTTAATTGCTGAATATAATGATAGGATTTCTATATTCATCTAAAATCATTATATTCATCTAAAATGTTAATAAAGTGATCAAAACATGTTTAAAAAAACATCAAAATAAGTCTTTTTGGTAAATATGCATATTAGGTTACACCTCACCGATGACTTTGACCTTGACATACGTTGTCAAGGACATAACCCTGAGTAATTTTTCCTTATAACTTAACCGGCGGTCTCTTATAGTTTCTGAGATATTTAAAGTTAACATTTGGATAATAATATAGAGACAGAGAGACCATCCGCCCCACAATTGTTGTGTGGATGGGAAAGTATATGCGTGGACGCAGTGGGCTCCACTATAAAAAAACTAGACACATAGGTTTGCGTTGAACCTCGCTTTGCGTGGAAAGTAAAAAAACCCAAAGAGCTTCGTCTCTGGAAATGTAAAGAAACACTTTTTCCACGTCTGATCTACGTAAATACAATGTAAACAACCTTTATTTTTCTTTATTTTATAATAGAAAAATCATTAAAATTGTGAAATCATAACTTT